ATGAACAGTTTCTACCATAAAGGGCTCATTTGCATAGACCCACAATTCCTCTGTTGGCACCGAGGAGTCACCCTAGCAAACATGGATTTGGGGGATTGTGAGCTCCCAAGGATGCTCTGTGCTGGGGATAGAGCTGTTACTTTGTGGGAAAGAGCTCATTCCAAGAAGCCAAGACTCTGTTCAAGGATCCTAACTGCTCTTGGCTCCTCTCTTGTGGGGACTTCAGTGTGAGAGGCTATGCAGACTGAAGCTGAGGTAAATGAACACAACAGAGGCAGGCAGCCTGCATTTGCTGTCCTGCTGCTCCCAGGGCGAGTGGGACTTGAACCCACCACTCTGCCCTCTATAGGTAAATGCTCTAGTCCCTAGTCCACTCCAGAACCCACCCCAAAACTCTACCTTCAGAGGGTCCCTTATCCTGCTTTTTAGGCGCGGGAGCCAGCTCCATCCCTGGGGCAGCCTGTGTTGGCTGTCTTGCTGCTTGTAGGAGCAAAGGCAGAGGCCAGTCGCTGAGCTGCGTGGACTGAGGTGACACCCTGCCTACCCAACACCTTACCAAAGCTGAACCATTACAGGGCCGGCCATTGCCCCTCTGACCTTTCCCTGGTTGTGTCTGTGCTGCAGTTGGAGGTGTGATTGCAGCAGTGGCTGGCTTTAATCTGCCTAGTGCTACTAAAAACAGCAGTGACGACATGGCAGCATGGGGTGTATGAGCCCACCTAGAATCCTGGGTTAATACTTAGGTAGTAAGCTTGTGCTGCTAGCCTGCATGGGCCCCTGAGCAAAGTGGAGGGGAGGGGGGGCGCTGGCTCCCTGTGCCCAGAAATGGGTGTGGCTTTGGGCAGAATGGCTGGGGCTGGGAAAAGCCAGCCCTCGTAGCAGCATGGAGCATGCTGTATGGTGCTCTGGGGGTGATTTCAGTGAAGAAGATTTTAAAACAACACAAGGTCCACACACCTCTCTTTTACCTTGCACTATCTCTTAAATTACCCACCAGTCACTGCTACAGAGGCTAACTAAGGTAACATCAGGTTCCAGAGGTGATCCCGGTGATGACAGGCTAGCATGCCTACCTCCAGTAACAGGCAAATTGTTTGAAATGATAGGAAAGGACAGAATTAGCAGAGGCATAGGCCCACACAATGTGGTAGGGAAGAGTCAACGTGGCTCTGGAAAGGGACATCGTGCCTCACCAATCTACTAGAATTCTTTAAGTGGGTCAACAAACATGGACAATCACAAAGCTGGGTTAGGGGGGTGACACCTCCTGGCATGACCATCCAAGCAGTTCCCTTGGGACTTTAACGAAAGAGAGGAAAATTAGACTGACTACTGCTAAATTCCTGAAGGAAGGAATGTAGTTTATGCCTGATTTGCATATGTATTCAGTGGGTGAGTTGCCCAAATTTGGCTGTTCCCTTTCCACTAATAAGCGTTTCCTTATTTATACATAGTCTGAGTGCTTGTGAGTGGGGAAGTTCGGCCTGCTAAGGACACCTGAGGAGAAGGCATTTAGTTTCCCCAGCTTTCTCGATGGGGCTCAAACCAATTATTTGTCAAGAGGAATCTTGAGTATATTGAACTCAGCCCTCCTTGCTGCCTGGCAAAAGGCTTGCACACAGACATTGTTGCACAGACTGGAGAACATGGCTATTTATTTTGTATGACAGCACTGGATTCAGAGATGAATCACAACAAATAGAAAGACACTGAATGGAATTACAAAGGTCTCCCACCCATGTGCTGAAACATGAAGCCTTTTAAAGTATTAGGATTTTCCCATGTATACAAATTACAGCAAATGAACTGAAATCTAGCAGCTTCCAAAGTGAGTTTGGAAGGAATGCAAAAGCACAAGCTCTGTGAAGTGGAAAACCATCAGCATCTTTCAATAATAAGTAATAGCAATGCTACTGCTTATCACGTCTCATCTCCAAATCACTTTACAAAGTGGCTAATGCTCACAGCTCCTTTGTGAAGGAGGCAAGTGTTATCCTCATTTGATAGATGGGAACCCTGAGTCCAAGAGATTAAAGGAGAAAAAAGGGAAGTCAGTTTAAGTATGGATAGTAATAGAAATGTAGCCGTGTTAGTCTGGTGTAGCTGAAGCAAAATGCAGGACAATGTAGCACTTTAAAGACTAACAAGATGGTTTATTAGATGATGAGCTTTCGTGGGCCAGACCCACTTCCTCAGATCAAATAGTGGAAGAAAATAGTCACAGCCATATATACCAAAGGATACAATTAAAAAAATTAACACATATGAAAAGGACAAATCACATTTCAGAACAAAAGGAGGATGCCGGGGGGGGGGGGGGGAAAGAAAGGAAGGAAGGTAGGTAAGTGTCTGTGAATTAATGATATTAGAGGTGGGGAAAGTTAGATGTCTGTGAGCTAATGGTATTAGAGGTGATAATTGGGGAAGCTATCCTGGTAATGGGTAAGATAGTTGGGGTCTTTGTTCAATCTGCCGCCCCTCCCCCCGGGAGAGTGTCGAATTTTAACATGAATGACAGTTCAGAGGATTCCCTTTCAAGTGCAGATGTAAGTAAAAGGTCTTTGTAGCAGAATGCAGGTGGCTAAGTCATTTAGAGAGTGTCCTTTCTGGTTAAAGTGGCAAGAAACTGTTTTCTCTTTGTGATCTTGTCTGATATCTGTTTTGTGGGCATTAATCCTTTGGCGAAGTGTCTGAGATGTTTGTCCAATGTACATAGCAGACGGACACTTTCGGCACACGATAGCATAGATTATATTTCTGGATGCGCAGGAATATGTGTTCTTGATCTTATAACTCACTTGGTTAGGTCCAATAATGGTATCAGCAGAATGAATATGTGGACAAAGCTGGCAACGGGGTTTGTTGCAAGGGAAGGTACCAGGGTTGGTATTAGTGTGGTATGTCCTGTGGTGGTTGGTAAGAATCATCTTGAGGTTAGGTGGTTGTCTATAGGAGACTATGGGTCTGTCTCCCAGAGCCTCTTTGAGTATGGTATCCTGTTCCAATATAGGCTGTAGTTTATTGATAATGTGTTGGACAGGTTTAAGTTGGGGGTTGTAGGTGATGACAAGTGGTGTTCTATTGTTGGTTTTCTTGGGTCTGTCTTGAAGTAGATGGTTTCTAGGTATTCGTCTGGCTCTTTCAATTTGCTTTTTTATTTCTCTGGGTGGGTAGTTGAGATTTATAAATGCTTGGTAGAGATCCTGAAGCTTCTGGTCTCTGTCAGTGGGGTTAGAGCAGATGCGGTTGTATCGAAGGGCTTGGCTATAGACGATGGATCGTGTGGTGTGTTCTGGATGGGAGCTGGATGCATGTAGGTAACTGTATGAGTCAGTGGGTTTTCTGTAGAGAGTGGTGTCTAATTTTCCATTGTTGATTTGTACGGTGGTGTCCAGGAAGTGGATCTCTCGTGTAGAATGGTCCAGGCTGAGGTTGATGGTGGGGTGTAGGTTGTTGAAATCTCTGTGGAATATCTCCAGTGTTTCTTGGCCATGTGTCCAGATCATAAAGATGTCATCGATGTACCGTAGGTAGAGGAGGGGTGAAAGGGGACGGGAGTTGAGGAAACGTTGTTCTAGGTCAGCCATAAAGATGTTAGCATACTGTGGGGCCATGCGTGTACCCATGGCTGTGCCGCTGATCTGGAGGTATAAGTTGTTCTCAAACCGGAAATAATTGTGGGTGAGAACAAAGTTACATAGGTCTGCTATCAGGTTGGCAGTAGTGTCCTCTGGGATAGTGTTTCTAATTGCTTGTAATGGATTTGAGCACTAAACTCCCTCTCACTGGGCCTGAGGGGGCCATTCAGAGAAGTGCCATCAACCTACCCACATCAGTGGGTGAGGGAACTTGTTGGGACTGGCGGTGAAAAGGAGACACCGAGCAAGGGACAATGAATAGCTCCTCCCCCTAGGAGTCTCTAGCATTAATTGGCCAACTGAGGGGGAGTTGGTCAGCATTTCCCAGCTCCAGGATTTAGCCCAGTGCAGGGGACTATCTTTCACCTCCTCTCCAGCAGCTCATCCTACCCACCTGAACCAGGGATGGGAACCTGACCTGATAGATGTTGGTGTTTAGGGAGCCAGGAAGGAATCTTTTTCTCCAATGGGCCAATTGGCAGATGACCCAAAGAGCTTTTTGCCTTCCTCACAGCACCTGCGAGTGACAGTGGACTGAATAGGAGTATCTTTAGTATCTGCCTGAGTTACTGGATTGGTGTTTATCATCACAACTTGTGACCAATTTCCAGTGTGGTTGGGGGAGTACTGCAATTCCCAGCGGGAAAAGAGCTGAGAGTTTGGTGATGTGCTTTGTGCCAATGTGATAGGTGAGACCTTGTAGCATTTGTGGATTGAGGTCCCCATCTTGCTGTATCCTCTGTGCCCCTTGTGAGGGGGAAGGTGCTAGGACGCAGAGCAGGCTCCAGGTTATGGACAAGTTATCCTCCATTATGGGTTACATGGTAACCCCCGTAGCGCCGGTGCCAATTATGGGCTATATTGTAAGGAGTGCTGTAATCTCTGCACTAGGACCAATTAGTATGAGTGATGGGTGCATAACACCCCTCCCTTGTGTTAAAGCCGAATAGAAGTTGCAGCCTGCCACTTAATTCTCATGCATGTGTCTGTCCTCCTTTTGCTGCTGAGTCCACATCAAACACCTTTGTAAAATGTGTTTAATGATTTACAGAACTGTGTGACATCGCACACAACTGTGATATCACAGACCAATGTGTATTGCTACTGCAGTGCATCTGAAATGGGGGCTAGCTTCTTCCCAGAGGTCAGACGTCATCCCTGCCCAGGGTAACTTCCATCTAAACGTTTTCATGTGGCAAAATGAGTGATGTTCAAGCAGCAGGAGAGGGTGCGGAAGGATGAGAGTCACCAGTAAAATCACATGGAGCCTCAATACAGAGATGTGCGTGTCAGAAGAGGAGGGGCTGGTAGGCTTGCTCAGATCATGGTGCTACGTATTGATCTTAAATAGGTCTCTCTCCCTCTCTCTCTGTCTCTCCATCAGCTCGCTGACCTTCAGCTCGGTGTGGCCCTTCTGTAAAATTCCCTGTGCTGCTTCCTTCACATGCTTGGAGCCAGGAACCAGAGGTGGGAGTGGGGGTGGGGTAAAGTCTCACGCTCTGGCACATTCTGTTGGCTGGGCTCTGAGCCCCTTGTGCCGGGGGCCTGGCAGTTGGCAGAACTCTCCTATAAAGGAAAATTCTGGTCTCCAGCCAGCAGTAGCCACCAAGGATGCTTGAGCATTCCCTGTCCGAGCACTTCAGCTGGGGCCTGTGGCAGTCTGGCATGGAGGCATAAGGGAAAGTGGCCAAGGAGGCCAACAGCCCTGCAGTCAGTAACCCCTTCCTCACTGGGTGGGCCCTTCTCATGCTTCCCCTCAGCCCAGGAAATCCCCTGTTGGCTTCAAACAGCAGTTCCTGCTGCGGCCCAGCCGCCCGCACCAAGATGAAGATCCTCTTTCTTCTTCCTCCAGTGACCCTTTTCCCTGTCCCCAGGGCCTCCCACTGCTCCCTGCTTACCTTTGGAAGAGAAGAGCAGTGCTGCCTGTTTCATCCCTCTGTCTTCTGAAGGCAGCTGACTAGCTTCCTAGCTGCCACTGGGGGTTCCCTTATTCTCTCCCAGTCCTCCAGGAGGCAGATCTTTGGAAGGGCAGCCCTCTTCGTTTCCTCTGCCACTCTCACGTGCTCCCACGCACAGATTGCACTAAGGAGTCTTCCTTGTGCTAGGAAATCCCACCCAGGCAGAATGGAACTGTAGCACAGGGTGGCTGAGCCTCTCTCTGCCTGCAACCTTCCCATGTACTGTGCTTCCCATCCTGCTGGATACCCAATCACCCTTCCTACCTAACTACTCCCTAGGCACCTACCCCACCATCCTGCTTGTGTTTGTCTCTCTTTCGCTCTCTGCCATGCCATTAGCCTTCCCTCCCGTCTACACCCGGCCATGCCATTAGCCTTCCCTTCTACACCCATTACCAGGTACCCGCCTCAAGACTCAGTGGGACAGAGCTGGAAACATTAGAGGAACGGGAGAGAGGGCAGCGGAGACTTGTTGGAGACCAATGAGGAGATGCAGTCGAAGGCAAATACACTTGGAAAATTGAGCTGGAAAGTGAGCCCACAGTGGGACTAGGCAGGGAGCACAGCAGGTTCCACTGAGGGATGAGGCCAACTATGGGGAGCCCGCCTCAAGACTCAGTGGGACAGAGCTGGAAACATTAGAGGAACGGGAGAGAGGGCAGCGGAGACTTGTTGGAGACCAATGAGGAGATGCAGTCGAAGGCAAATACACTTGGAAAATTGAGCTGGAAAGTGAGCCCACAGTGGGACTAGGCAGGGAGCACAGCAGGTTCCACTGAGGGATGAGGCCAACTATGGGGAGCACTAGAGTGTCCTATGGACATTGACCCAGCCCCCCTACTTTAGCTCCCAATGATTGTCAGATTGGAGGGAAACCGTAGAGGTCACCAAGGAGAAGGGAGAGAAGGTGAAACTAGAGTCAATACTGAGAAAACAAAAGAGGACTTGCCTACTTGCTCTGTCAGCAATAGGAGGAGATTGACTTTTCTACCTACCCAATGCAGACAGCCATAAGGGAAGTGGTTTCCTTTAGGAACGGATGGTGTCATGGGGGAGGGGAGGCAGTTGGAAATTCAGATGAGCACCCACACTTTGGATATTTTATCCAAACCGCAAACCTGAGAATTCACTGGAATGCCCCCTGGACAGCATGTCCCTGTAGAAGTGATTCCTGCTTGATGTGCTTGCATCCATGCTGGGCCTTGCTCCTATGCTGCAGATGCTCAGTATGAACAGCCACCTACAATTTTTCAGATGCATTGCCTTGTGGGGGACTATTTCACCTCAGCAGTGAGAGCTCCATAAGAGATGTTCCCCGGCACTCTTTGCAGAGAATAAAAAAAAGCTGTGGTCCTCACTCTGCGGCTTGCAGGCATGGATGCTCCCGTACATCCATGCCTTCTGGTGCTGAAACGCGAGAGGTTTTATATTACGGTGAGAAGAGGGCAATCATCTCAGCACAGTATGCATTTTCTGTCACACAGCAGAGGCCATTTTCTGTCCCACCCCCCTTTCGAAGTGACATGTGCCCTGCTGGGGGAGGGGGTAGGAAGATAGCTAACCCACTCTTTTTATAAAACTTTGATGCTTGAAACCAAAATTTGTTTCTTCACACAAAATAGTTTCCCTTCCTTCTTGCAAAGCCACATGCGCTACTGAGAGAAAGATGGCTCATGGCTGCAGTAGTTGATTTCGGCTGGTTTAAACGACAACAACAAAAGCGATTGTCTAACAGGATGTCACAGTGGGATTGTGGGCTTTATGTGTCTGTTGGGGGTGGGGGAGCCTTCCCAGGGGTAGCAGTGACAGTTTGAGTCAGATTCTATTTGAATAAGGGAAACTTCAAAGGTCTTATTAAAACATATTTCAGGCTCTTTTCCCTGCAAGTGAAAGATTCTTTATAGGTGGGTGTTTGGCAATGGAGATCTAGACCAGAGTTTGGGGCCTGATTTAAGAATAGTTTCTTACTTTTGGGCACGTCGACACTGCAGGGAAAAAGTCGAATTAAAAGTCGAATTATGTCAATTGCATAGCTGAATTCGGCTTTGGGCACTGACTACACAGCAAGAAGTGGAAGGGAAAACACTCTTCCTTCAACCTCCCTTACTCCTCGTGGAATGAGGGTTACAGGAGTCCAAGTTAGAAGTCCTCCATCTCAACATTATTTGAATATAACGGTTTGCTGTGTAGATGCACCCTATGTTATATTGAAACGTCAGTTATTCCAAAATAACGTTGCAGTGCAGACGTACCCTTTGTGTGCAGAGCTCAGATGCCTTTTGGTGCTGGAAATACAAAATACTCCCATTTTTAGCAAAATATCAACAATTTTCCTGCATTATCCAGCTCTGATTGAGCCCATTACAAAATGTGGGCCCAAGAATCAGCTCTGGATTTTGACCTCACCAAAGTAGAAAGCTCTTCAGATCCAAGGATCCCAAAGGAGGGACTTGCCATCTGAGTGAGTGATGGGCTAAAGAGAAGTGGGAAAGAGCTTGAAAAGGCCTTCCCAGACCCTACCCCCATCCTCCAAGGTCCTGGCTACAACCCCGTTTATAAACAGTGTTGAGTGATTTGGCCACACACACATTTTGGCAGAAAGTAATCAGGGAGCAGCACAGAAAGGCAGCCACATGGGAACCTCCGCGTTTATTATAGTTCATTCCGGAGCAGGCAACACACAGATCTTTGCTGCTGTTCCTCCCACCATCTCAGCCCCATGCTCCCCCTTTCAGGCTGTGTGGTGAAGTCCAAACCTCCCTGTAGGGGATGGGGCATCTCTGTCCTCTGCCAGTGGAGAGTGGATGGTGCCAGTGTTCCCCATGGTCAATGTTTCTTTAAGCAGCCCCATTCTTCATTCTTGCTACTAGCTCATTATGGTGCCTGTCCTTTGAAATCCAACCTGCCTCACAGCTTCATAGAGTGGTTGGGCCTTTAACTTGCATCTAGCAATGTATGATCACATCATCACTTGAATCCTACTATATCAGCTCCAGGTGGCTGTTGCACCTTTAAATGACTCCACTTGTGTCCAGCTCCTCATTGTCAGTATCTGTTGAACAGGCAGCTCCACAAGGTTGGTGTCCCAGCGGCCCCTGCACATGTTCTAGGCCTGGAATGTATGGGGGAGCCAATCCTGTTCAGATATCCCCTTTCAGCCAGCAGTTCTTGGCTATTTGTCCCACCCCGGGCCGAGAGGCTGGACTGAACTGGAGCAGCTGGGTGATGAGGGCTTTGCAGGGCTCAGGCAAAGGGGGCAGACCTTCAGGGTAGAGGACTCCCTTCTTCTGGCGGCGGGGCATGCTGTGGATGTGGGTGTCATCGAAGGGCATGCAGCCGGTCACCATCACGTAGAGCACCACACCCAAGCTCCATATGTCGTACTTCTTGGCGTCGTAAGGTATACCCAGCAGCACCTCGGGAGAGGCATAGGCAGCTGATCCGCAGTAGGTGGTGCTCAGGTCTGGGTAGCCACTTGCCTCCTTGCCAAAGCCAAAGTCTGTGAGCTTTGCCCGGCGGCCATCGGAAGTGAGCAAGACATTCTCACACTTGAGGTCCCGGTGCACCAGATTCCGGTCATGAAGGTAACGCACGGCACTCACAATTTGTCCAAAGATGTCCCGGGCTTCGGGGACACAAGGTAGTTTCCCAAGCTGCTGCACCAGCTGGAGCAGATCAGTGGACGCTGCTTCCATCACGATGTAGAGTTTCCCATTGCAGACTTCAATGAACTCAAAGACCCGCACGATATTGGGGTGCCGGATCACCCGCAGGATGGAGAGCTCCCTTGGCAGAAATTTGTGTACAAAGTCGGGGGGTGCCCGTCGCCGATCCACCACCTTGATTGCTAGTGGGCCCTTGTATTTGGCTGAAGTGGCTACCCTCACCTTGGAGTAGCTGCCCTCACCCAGGGTCTGGCCCAGCTTGTAGCCAAGCTCGTTAAGCAGTTTGTCTCCTCCGGAGGTTCTTGACATGGTGCAGTGTGGCTTGGATGGGTTCTGATGGGCTTGATTGGGGCTGGTGTTTTGCTCCAGGGATTGAAAGCTTTAACCCATTGTGTGTGGCAGCTGTTGACCTTCACTCCCCCCCCATGTTCCCACTGGGTACTTGGTCCAGCAGCATCACTGCTCCCTCAGGTATTGTGATGTGCTAGGAGTGTCATGTGCTACTCCCTTTGTGTGTTGCCAAGGATGTCACGTTAGCTCCCTTTCCTCCCTCTCCTCTTCGGGATCTTGGGCATACCGTGTATAAGAGCAAGGGGAAAGCTCCTTGTTAATTGTCTTGAGGTTATTGTCTCTTCCATTTGTGTTGGGGGTTTGGCTTCTTGAAATAATAAGAGCTTAGTCATGAGCATTCTGGAAGGAACAATTAATTTCTGGGTTTTGCCAGTCCAATGCCCATCCTGCACAGAAAACTAGATATTCAAGTGAGGATATACACAAAGTGGCGCAGACAGAATGACTTTATACTTGCCAAATTGCAAGTTATTTGGGGTGGAGAAGCATATTCACCAGCTGTACTTGTTCCTCCTAAGGGTTTTGAGGAGGACTCTCCTCTTCCAATGAACTCCTGCTAGCCTAAATTCTTGAATCTGGAATCATACTCCTGTGCATTTTAAAAAAAAATTCTGTATTTGGGGCTGCATAAGAGAAATTGCTCCAGACGTCTTTTAGAGATCTATTGAGTTTTAGTGTGTTTTTTTTAATATGGCTGGGGGCAATGTTCATTGTTCTGAGGTCACATTTGAATAAATGTATCATGTATTTTAAATATGTACTCCTGATAGCATATATGTATATAAAATACTTTAACTTCCCTCCTCCTTTTTTTCCCCTTGAGCACTCATGTAAATGGAGCTTGCCTGGATTCTCGGTGTGTATTTTCTAATTTTTTAATTATCTACTCTAACCACCTAAAGGGGTAATGAGATCCCTAAGTAACAACGAGAACAGGGGATTTGGACAGGCACACGACGTTCTTGCCCCACATGTGCTATGTCACTGCCTAAAAATGGGCAACAAAGGGACCATCTGAGGCCTTCAGCTTCCCAAATGGGCCACTTACTATCAGGATGAGCCTTGAGAATGGCCACAGGAGTGCTGTGTGGCAAGCTGCAGTGACCCACACCATACTCCGGCCGTCTCTGAAGGCTGGCCAATGCAGGTGTGTGCTGTCATCAGGGTGGTGCTGATGCCCTGCCCCTTCCGCTTCAGACCCTACCCCTTTTGGGCATGTGGAGCTGCCCTCTCACATTGCCAAGGGGCCTGGAAATCCTGTTGGCTCCCCTACTTATTACTAACTCAGTGGGGCAGGGAGGAGGGGAATACAATTCAGCCCCACCGAGGGAAGAGAAGACTACTATAGAGGAGGGAAGGGATTTGGAGAGGCAGGAAGCAATTAACTGAGTTGGGACTTGCTGAGAAACAGATCATTAGCCACAGTTTTTGTGAAGAGTAAAGTGGGATCATTAATGATCTCTGCTTTAGGTCGCATCGGAGAGAGATCCGCAAAAATGCCCCTAAAAAGAGCCTGCTGGATTGCAGACCCAGGAAGTGACTCTGAGGACAGAGCACTGCCCACTTTCAGTTCTTAAGCATTGTTGGTTTTTACAAGATGTTCCAAGGTTCTAATCCACATTAGGGAACAGCTGCCTGAAAATTATAATTTATTATTGGTTTCAGTGTATAAAAGACAGTCTGAAACCACAAAACCCTTCCTGGTTCTAATAATACTTTTGCCAATCAGAGCTGAAAGAAAGAAAATCCGCCCCGGCACTGTCTGTCCTTATTCAGTAATTTTAAAAGTCACTGAGTTATATAACCACTTGAACAAATGGTAGTTATTAAAGCAATGCTAGCAAAGATTTAAAGTGAGGTATTTGATGGCCCATACTGTATTATAAGCCCAATAGTTATGTTTATCTGCTATAATAATTGCTAGCTTTACCAAACCCTCTCTCTAAGAGCCATCTTTTCTTCTCTAAATCCTTTCTCAAATACAAGAATTCCCTATGCCTTGGGCACAGCTTTTAATCAGGCAAGATCCACAGAAGCATCACTCCAGTAATAGCTGGAGGGGCCATCTACCTTTCTCCAGGTACCACGCTGCCAGTATCGCTTTGAGATACAGGAGCAATATAAATGCTGCAACACTCAGTTACAGGGGGGAATATTTGCTTCCTCCAGTGTGTGGACAACTGTGCTTGTTGGTAGGGTGGGAAGTGGTTCCCTTACTCCCATTCCATCCTCATCTTTTTTTGAAGAGTCTGGTGTCAATGAAAGTATTAGGGGATCACATCTGTATGGAGGCATAAAGGAGGAGATTTCCTGTCTCTTCTCTATCTGGATCCACATGCAAACTGGCCCATTGACTCTTTCCATGCAAAGAGGCTAATGAACAAACTAGAATTCCTGCTTCTGAAGTGGTTGAGTCATACGCTTCTTTCTGGGGAAGATTCTGCCCAGTTTCCTGGTTTCACTGAATGCAGCATGGGGCTGGAGAAGGCGAGAATGGCTGAAATACTGGAGAGGATAATTTAAAAAGAGAGAGAAAGAAAAGAAATCCAGGAACAAAAACTAACCATTCAAATTAGGAAAGAACTGCAGCTTGAACCATATGCCACTAATGCTTTTATTTAAGCAAAGAAAAAACAGCACAGCACTTTGTAGGCCAGAGAGCTGTGGAAAGCCATTTATTTCTGTGGGCTACGGATTAATTCCTGGCACATACTGTTAGACTGTGAATCATAACCACAGTGACTTCAGATGAGGTTAAAGCTGTACTTTCAGGAAGAAGTGAGCGTTCCTGGGTGACTAAACACCATGGAGCTGAAGTAGTAGAGTTGAGGAATTTTTATGAGGGAAGATGATGCCCTGTGTTCCCCTTGGTTACATAAGTTCCCTTCTTGTTATCTCAGTGCCACTGAGAAATGCACTTATAATTTCTCTGTGGACAGGTGAGTACCATTGATTGTGTGTAAGCATAGCGATTCTTATGAAGCACAATACTCTGGGGAATAGCAGGACTTGAACTGTAAGCTGTACAGCAGTGGAATATACAGTGATCGCAAGAGATCCCTGGCAGAATCGTCTTTTAGGGGAAGATTGTAATGTTACAGAAGACATGTTGCCTAAAGAACTGGGGAGGGGGCGGGGCGGGAGGAGGAGGGAATGGTCTCAAGTTGCAGTGGGGGAGGTCTAGATTAGATTTTAGGAAAATAATATTTCACTAGGAGGGTGATGAAGCACTGGAATGGCTATCTAGGGAGGTGGTGAAATCTCCATCTTTAGAGGTTTTTAAAGCCATTCTTGACAAAGCTCTGACAGGGATGATTTAGTTGCAGTTGACCCTCCTTTGTGCAGGGAGTTGGACTAGATGACCTCCTAAGGTTTCTTCCAACCCTAATCTTCTATTATTTTATCTCATCGGTTGATATCATGGTGATTAGGATGGAATTCTTCCCCAGTTGGGGAATCTTGGAGTATCCATTTCTCATCTTTCCATTAACCCAGCACTAAACTGATGTTAGCTGTTGTTCATTGGTGCAGATGTACTAGTGCAGCTCTATTCTTAGCCTAGTTCCTAACCCGTAGGCTGCTGCATGACATGCGACTTTCAGAAAAAGCACTGAACGGAGACAGCAAGAGAAAGGAATAAGATTTTTCTTCTTTGAAGGATGACATTAGACAGGAGGAGAAGGAGAAGGAAAGAGATCTGAGCTCATCTCTCTGTGCTGTGCTTGGACTTGTATTTTTTGTTTCGTTAATTTTTTTGGCTCTTTCTTAGCATAAAAATGTACCAAAAATCTATTTTGCTTCCATTCCTCTACCTCACATTGTGCAATCAGTGCTACAAATATTTAACCAAAGTCATTACATTATAATGGCGCTAACAGGTATGGCAGTATTTTGGCCCACCTTTATTGGATTAAGTTTAATATCTTTGAAGTTCATTGTATTAAAAATGCAAATGTTTATGTACTATTGTGGGATTGTTTGGAACTTCTGTAGAAGAAGAACATGATTAATGCAAGCTCTAGGAAATGAGAAACTTCGGAGAACTGTTTGGGACAATGTGTGTAGAGTGAGTTTCCTATAAAGTACTTGGGAGGAAGGAAATGCAAATTCTCATCTCCAAAGCCAGCCCTTTGAAGCTACATGCTGGGGAGAGAAACTGAAGCTTTGGCTAAGTCTATACTGTCACTTTAAAGTATTGGAACTTTTGGGCTTGGATATGTAAAAAAACAAACACACAAATGCCCCCAGCATGTTGCAGAGCAGGAAAGTGCTAGTGTGAACTGTATCGAAAGTTTTGCTAAAGTCAAGGTATACCACATCTATTGACTTCCCCATGTCCACAGAGCCAGTTACCTCATCATAGAAGCTAATCAGATTGGTCAGGCACGACTTGCCTTTGGTGAATTCATGTTGTCTATTCCTGATCACTTTCCCCGCTTCCAAGTGCTTCAAAATGGATTCCTTGAGGATCCCCTCCATGATTTTTCCGGGGACTGAGGTGAGGCTGACTGGTCTGTAGTTCCCTGGATTGTCCTCCTTCCCTTTTTAAAAGATGGACACTACATTTGCCTTTTTCCAATAATCCAGGACCTTTCCTGATCTCCATGAGTTTTCTAAGATAATGGTCAAAGGCTCTGCAATGACATTTGCCAACTGACTCAGTACTCCTTGGGTGCATTAAATCCAGACCCATGGATCTGTGTATGTCTAGATTCTAAATAGTTCAGGTATTAACCTTTTATAAATCATTGACAAATGGAATCTTAATTATAATGTGTGACTCCGATACATAACGAAATCCTAAAGCTCTCTGGTTTGCAGTGGAATATCACTCAGGATAACTTAAACCAAACTTTTGCAAAGAATATTTTTCTCACTAAATAGTAATGAGCCTGTAATACTGTTGTTTTGAGACACGTGGTAAAATTTTCACACACACCTAATGACTGACTTAAACTCCAAAATTCCATTTTAAAAAGTTCCTAAATACCTGGGTCTTTTTTGAATATGATTCCTTTGTCAGAGAGGCACTTCTGAAAATGTAACAACCTATAACAGGGACAGAAATAGGCATTAGGAGAGGGACTTGGGACTCTGAGGTCCTGGGT